TGCTATTAAATATGATCCAAAATTTTTATTGTTTCCTTAATTACTTAACTAACAAATTGACTATCACAAAAAAATATCAAACGGTGTTCTGCTGTACCAAATTTAACTATAGAAATCCATTTTATAGTCAAGTTTTTCCATATATAATTTTTTAATCAAAGTAGTGTCAAAAATTTTCGATAGATGGCGCATGATCGCTGAATTGTCTCTTTAGAAGAGAGTTAAGTTTCAGGTTATAAGTTTTAATATAAAAATATTTTTTTTCAGTTTCCTGAGGAGTTTATTCTGAGGCTGAGAAGAGTTTTTACTTTATCTAATCACTAAAAAAATTGACTTTTCATTCTTATATATTATTAGTGCATATTATAGCCTTATGTGAAAATTATCCGAACTAATAAATTAAAATAGAGTTGATAGACGTTTTGTTCCCAATATTTAATCAGCATTAAATAAAGTTACAGATATAAAATTTATCCCTCTAATCCGGATTGACTCCTTTGAAATATACGAAAAGATAAAAAGTTAAAAAAGTTGTTAGTTTTTGCAAAAATAGAAAAAAAAAAAAACAAACACAAAAACGCAAAGAATAAAAGCCGCAGTGCAAACAGACAATAGGACGTGAAATCATTTTTCATTTTTCGTCCTTTGGTACAACCAGCTCTTGGTGCAGTTAGCAACGGTTTCAGCCCTCGGAGCGTTTGTCTCTCATCCCCGTGCTGTCCCGGTGTCAGATCATAAATCCACCAGAAAAGTGTGTCATACATTTTTGCTTTTGAATCTCCTCCAATGTATCAGGGACATTTAGCATCGAAATTAAATATTCGTAAAACTAAAACAAACTGCCACTGAAATTCATTTTATTTTGAATAAAGTCACCTCTGTTTTATATTCTGTCCCGCAAATAAAAATTAAATGTTACTGTGGTGACAAGTGACTGATGACAGCGAGTGTACAGCAATCTAAAATCACATTTATACTTCGTAATTTCTTCTGCTCACTGTTATTTGCTCTTTTCTGTTTAACGGTTCTTCGCTGCGCGTTCCTGTAATCTATTACAATAAAAATAGTCACAAGATATTATCACAAATTGTTTAAAATTAAGACAAAGCTAAGACACTAACTTTATTTTCATTTATTAGCTGCTCTTTTCTATCTCTTCTCCAACTTGAACCTCAACCTCGGCGACAATATCTGCCAGAAAATAAAATAAATTGAATTAGAACGGACGGAGATTGAAACAAATAAACCCAATGAAAATAACAGTTAAAGCTAAATATTAATAAAACTCCTCCAAGGGCCTTTTTAAACGACTGTTTAGATTTGTATCCTATCGCGATTCAGATTACCTCTGAGACAATTGAATTTTTTGATCCGCTAGAAATTACAAACATCAAAAGATTAGGGGCTTTATTTTATGCTGCGATCAAATGCTTAGTTCGATTCTGTCTTCCATTATCTTTATGTTAGATACTTTTAGATTAAGGTAATAAGGCCTATATATAGTTGCAATAAAGTCGAGATACGTGCAATAAAAGAAAAACTATTAAAATAATTTTTTATGTTAACTATTACTTAAAAAATTTTTTTAGAAAAAATCAATTTTTATTACAAATAATAATTTAATTAGACATATCAAGTGAAGTAAGATAAAAGACCGCCATGAAATAGTATATTGTGTGGCTAGGGGTGAAAGAAAACGATTTCAGACAGAGGGTCGAGTTGTCTGTCTAGGCGAAGCGAGTAAAAAAAATTTATTTGATTTAAGAGAATATACACTACGAGCGCTTAAAAACCATTTTTTTTATGTAATTATGTGAAAATAATTAATAAAAAAAAAAATCTAGTATCTTCAGCTAAGAAAAAAAAAATATTAAAAATTTTCCACAATTTAAGTTCTTGTCACAAGATTGCTTTTTTTTTTCTCAATAGGTATTTTTATTTTAAAAATACTTGCTAAATAATACGTTTTTTATTCTCGTCTGGATAACTTATTCGCCAATAAAAATTTTCATCAGCAAAATAAAAAAATTTTAACCCCCATTCGATAAAACGATATCAATTTCTCCAACATTGTCATTTCATGCTAACAAGTCTTTAATAACAGAGAAGTTTCTGCGTTACTTATCCTATAAAAACATGGGAATAATTGAATAATGATAACAATACAATTAATTCGGTAGGTATTTAATTAGATAACAAACGCATTCAAGAATTAGCATAACCGAACAATAATACACAATGGTGTAGTATATACAAGGTGTTATTATTACAAAATTCTAAATGTTTCCATAGTAACACTATGTTATGGTCTAGCGAGCCCAGCAAAGCATCATACAACTTAAACTAGGAGGACTGTTTCCACCACCCACCGCTTCTCAATTCCATATTCACATTAACTCTAATTGGGTAACTTTGACTCCATGGAAACTTGGAATATTCCGAGAAAACTTTAGATCCACGGCTATGCATGCATTCGTACTAAACTTTAAAAGTAACCATCCGAACAGTTGTTGTTATAGTTGTAATAGTGATGTAAGTAAGCACAAGATCTTCTCTTCCCAAGATACTAGATATGGTACGTTATCTTACTCGCCCTGGAAATAAGATTACCCACGATTATTGTTAGGCTCCGTCAAAGTGGCTCAAGATATTTCTGGAAAAAAAAAAACTCGCGAAAAGAAAAATTCTTTAAAAAGGTTTTAAAGCCTAACTGTGATCTATATTTATTGTAAATTATAACTCTGAGGATTTAGTGATTCAGTAATGATAAGGATAATGGTTATTTATGGTTTGCAGAGCATAAGCGTTATCGTCGAAAAGGTCTCGTGGGAGATCTTTGTAAGCGGTTTCACACTAGAGTGCAGTATTTTCGGGTCTACTTGTTAGATTTCTGGAAATTTGCTTACAAATTAGTCGACGAAATTAACAGTGTTGGAATATGCGTCATTATTTAGACGCCAAAATTCAAAATTAATCCGTAGTATCGAATATTGTTTCGAGGAATGGATTTTTATAAGATAAAAGATGTTTATTTGACATAAAATATTTTCTAAGTATTAATAAGTTAGAAGAATTTTTCATTACAGGCTTCAAATTTTTGAGGACTACAAATTATTTTTTTTCTGTGCATACATGAAAAATTTACAAGAATTGTAAGAATAAAATAATCGTAATTAAACATGAATATTGAACCCTAATAATTTCAGGCGATAAATCATCAGCCCTATAATTAAATTCAATAGTTTAACAAGACACTTGTGCCTAATCCCAGTGAATCTATGTAAGCTGTTTGGCATTAGCATGTGTAATATTGTCATCGAGCAAGGGGTGCCGTGTAGAAACGATCCCGTATATATCTACAAGCAGGATCTTACCCATGAATTCCCATCGGCAATAAAGTCTTGCTCCCCTAGATCTATTTCATTTCCTTCCACATATCTATATATATATGGACAAATATTCTTGCGAGAACAACTAGTTTGGTAGCTCCAAGATCAAGTTCCTCAGTTCCTCAGATGACTACGGGCGTGATGACTCTCAGGACATCTAGGACGACAAGCATAATACTCTGTAGTGTCTTTCGACGGAGCTTGAAATATGAGGGATAGAAACTTGCGAGTTTATTGCTCCTGCATTCAAGTTCTCAGCGCCCACGCCCATTTCGATCTTCGATATTATGATTCTAGATTCGAAAGAAACAACCGATTAACTCGAGTCCGGAAAAAGTTGATGATGAAACATTTTTATTGTCATTTATTATTTAAAGTTTGATTAAAAAGTTATTAAATATTCTGCAGGTTATTAATTTTATAGCGGTTGTCAAGTTTGCACATAAATGCTTCCGTAAATTCCTTTCAACGCTTACTTTATGGTAATTTGATCGATGTATATATTCAGAAATTGTTCCTTTACACTCTACTCTCTAATTATTATTCAATAATTAGTCAGTTAAGTTACTAATCAGTTATCAAAATAGTTAATAAATATCATTAATTGGTAATTTAGTTACGGAATTCGGTTCCAGAGAAATTATTTTGAATTTTCGAAGCTTTACTAGTGATCAAACGTTACCGACATCATAAGTTGACGTTGAAACCTTGGTCATTGTTTTATTATTTAATGAGTAACTGTGCTATTTGAAAGTTCATATTAGTTTAACATTTCAGAGACTAAAACGGAATTTTATATTTAAATGTTTGTAATTGGCTTATTGTTACATGTCTTCTTGTTCGTTTGATGTTAGTTAACTAGTAATTTTCATACACCGTAAAAATGTTTAAAATTTTTGAAATTAACCGAGAGAAATTTTATTTATATTATTAATTAAAAAAACTCTGAGAAAAGAATTCATTATTTTTTTTATTGGTATAATTTTTTCCTTACTTTGATGTAATAAAGAAATTTTAATATTTAAAAAAAATTGCATCAATAATTTTTTTATTTTCTACAAGTTGCATTTTTTGATAAATTATCTCTATAATTATTTATTTGTTAAAAAATCATGAAAATTTCCATATGTCAATCAATTGCAGTAACGTTAAAATAATTAATTTTATTTAATTAAACGTAGCAATGTCAATCATTTAGTATTTTTTAATTGATTTGGAATGTCAATTAATTTTGTTCTAATTACAGAATCGTTGTGTTGATGTAACATATATTTATGCGCAAAAACAGTGAATTAAAATTTTCTTTTCATCCAAAAATTAATTCAATATTTATTATTCCTTGGAAAAATATTCACATGTCAGCTAAAATTCTCTAACGCGGCAGAAAACAAATATTTTTGGCTAATAGAGTCTTAAATTTCCATAAATTTATTTTGAACTATAGAAAATAGAATGTTCTATTAAAGCATACAGAATAGTTGATAGTACAAATAAAAGTGATTTTCTTAGTAACCGGATAAATTTTTCCGAGCTAACGGTGTGTGGAACAAAAAATCACTGGCACAAATCCAGCGAAAAAATATCAAAATTTTGTCTTTTACTTCTTTAGCCTTATATATGTCTTCTTCGGTTTCCGGGTTCAGCAATAACTTTATCGTTTTCGCTTTTCGCATCTAGATGAGCTCCTGCAAGTTTTGGCAGTCTACGTCCTCCCAATAATTTGATACTGCGGTTGGCCACACACTGAGTTTCCTTATCATCGACACTCGAGATTTTTTTTCTGACTCACTTTTAATGAAAAATATCTTCCACACACTGTAATACAGTTAGACTTTATTGTTATAACATAACCCGGTATCAGAAATCAAAGTTGACGTTTTTAATCAAACTTAACTTCAATAAAATCTGTGTAAACATTTTTTTACAATAATATTCACGGAATTTGTTGAACAATGCAGGATGCTAAATTTTTTTTTTTTGATAATCAATTTTTACCGTATGTGATCTAAATATTTTTTTAGTCTAAAATTACAAAAAAAATAAGTGGAAGGTACTTCAATGTTTGTGAAAAAAATGCTTGATTTGAAAAACGAAATTGAACGAAAAAGTTTCAACATTCATGTCTTTATGAGAGTTATTACTTATTTATTAATGATATATAATAAATTATTATTAATATATTAATATTATATATTAATTATTTTATTTACTTATAAAAAAAATATTTTTCTAACTGTAATAATTAATAAAATTGGCGCTTACGAACTGTCTTTATAAATTCTAATAAACTACATATTTTTTAATAATAAATATTTAATGTTTTTTAATATAAAAATTTTTATTTCAATCTTTTAAATAATAAATATTATTTAAAAATGCGTACGACAGTGATTAACATTCTAAGTAATTAATTATCTTATAAAATAAGATAGGGTAAAATAATTTTCATTTAAAAGAATTTTTATCACAACAAACGATTGATTTATTACTTCTTATCCTTGACATATATAGGATTCGACAGAATAAAGATATAAAAATCTTGAATTCACTGATGCATTATGAAGATATTATTATTATTATTGTGAGAATAATTTTTTTGATAGCTTTTGAAACATCAGCGAACTTCCTAGGATTCTTTATAAATGGATAAAACGATAAGAAGTGTAAAAAATAAAAACATAAAGATGACTTGATGCCTTTATGTCTATCTCGATATACGCATTTTCTCGTAGCTAAAGCGTCAGAAAACGATTCACTGAGATACGTGAAAGCTTTCGAGCGAAAAATACCCTGGGAATCACGTTGACAGGGAATATAGTTACGGAAAATAAAAAGGATTGGAAAATAAAGAATGTATAGAATAAAAAGTGATAAAAAAATAACTGGTAGAGAAAACTGTTGCGAAAGATAGACTGAGTAACTGACAAAAGGAACGGGAAGAAAAAAAGTTACTGGAACAAGAGCAAAAAATAAGATCAAGTATGGGAAGAATTCCAGGTGTTTTGTAATATGGTAAATGGGACAAAGAAAAATGAATAAATAGAATTCCCATAAGAGATTTTTCTACATCAACTATTTTTACTGAGTCTGCTGAGTTTTTGCTGTTTGTAACTGAATCCTAAAGTTACAATTGCATGTTATATTATACATAAGGAATATATGATACATATTTACATTTGAAATGAAAGTAATATGATAAAAATTTTTATGATTTGAGATAAAATTATGAATTCAAAAATATTTTTTTTTAAATTGCAAGACACTGTTCAAAAATTTTTTGGAATTTTCAAAATATTTTCAGTAACACAAATTAATTAAAAAAATTTATCTTTGTAATTTTATTTGAAATAATAAAGAGAATTTAAAATACATGCTTGAGCAATTAATTTTCTACACTGATAGAAGGATTTGTTTATAATTAAAAACATTAGTTAATATTTAACGAATCATTTATTAGAGACGACTTTTTAGTCTTTAACAAATATTTTTTAGAATTTAAAAAGATTTATTAATATTTAATAAATGAATATCAGATTTATTAAATATAAACAAATCATTTTACATACTAAGGAATATTTGTTTAATACTAAAAAGTGGTCTCTAGTAAATGATTTGTTAACTATTAACAATTATTTTTTAATACAAATAAATCCTTTTATCAGTGTACAGAAATATACTCTCGACATTTCAAAAAAAGCAGTTTTCTCGAAACTGAAATTGATTTTTTGTTATTTATATCGCACTTACAAATTAATATGTTTTTTGTTTTTTATTATTTAGCTTTTTATATTTTATTTTAATCAATTTTATTGTAAAAAATGAGATTATGAGGCGTGCACTTTTGGATTTTCCAAACTTTTTTAAGTTTGTGTGAATAAAATTTACCTGAATCACTGATTTTTGCGGTAATTTTTCAACAAAATTTCTCTCCTTATAGTTCCCAAAGAAATATTTCTCAAAATAAACTACCGAAAGCTCTATCATAAAAAGCAAAAGGACGGAAAAATAAAAAGCACCGAGAATAATGGAATAGTAGGAAGAAGGGTATTGAAAGTGAGTGGGTCTTGAAGTTGACTCAACGGTGCTTGAAATCCGTGGACATGAGACGTGAGTGTTGTTAAGGATTCCCGGACAAAGGAGCCTCCTCTGGTTCTGCCGGGTCATAAGGTGTCCTGGACACGTGTAACGTTTCGAATCCGACGAAATGAGACGGTCAATATTGCTCCGGGCTTTCGCGACTATTCACACCGATAAATAAATAGGTATAGTGTACGTATAGAGCTGTAGATGTATATGTAGTCAAGAGTTCTTGTCAAATAGCCGGCACGACGTACAATGCACTTTCTTCGTTACAATTGTCGACAACGTGACCTGTCAATTTTGGCTCTAGAAACCGAGGAAATTTTCTTCTGTCCTTTATTAAATTCTCATTCTTCTTTCTGACCTTTTGGTCGATGATTGTAGTCTGGAACAATAAGTAAACTATGGTTATTACTGTAATACCACAGCAATTACGTTTGACAGTTTAATAAAAATTTGTTTTTTCTATCGTTAAAAGTATTAATTAATTTATGAATGTTGTCGATTATTATTGCGAAAGTAAATTCAATAATAATAAAATTGTAAATTTTTTTAAATATTAATCTAAAATATTGAAGTAAAATTGTAATTTCACCATTTGTTTTCATGTTTTTACTCATTACATACAACTAAAAATATTGCGAGTTAGAAAATGAGTACTTTAATTATTTACACAGAATATAGTGATTTTCACTAATTTTTGTGATACAATTTTAGATATTCAGGTGAGTGTAGTGTTCGAAACAAACAACATTTAAGTTCACTGAAATATTAAACTGAATATATGAAACACTAATGTAGTATCGGATTTTATTGGATAGGATACTAAATGTTTATTAAAGATGTTATTATTAAGGTATCACGGGGCGGTTAATTTAAAGTGAGTATTTATTAGAAAAATTGACAGAGTTAAAAGACAGAGGTCTGTCGTACATCGAAGTTAAGTAGGAACTGCCTGCTTGAGTCCCATACAATTAGATCTTTACTTACTACCTGGGTTTCTCACCCCCGCATCAGTCATACTTCGTTCTTACACTCTCGGTACTTATAATGTACATTTTTGCCACGAGACAAATCTATACTTACGTTCCCACGCATACGAATATTTTCTAAACTATCTTAACTAAACATCTGTTATTTGGGAATTTTTCTTAATCCCTTTATTTACAACCTTTTCGAAAAAATACTTACTGCTAAGTACAAAGGTGCAATAAAACAATAAAATAGAGAAACTTAAATCTAAAAATGACCATTCCACACTAATGGGTTCATACTTCATTAGCTTTCAAGTGACATTAACTTTACATCAACTAATAATATTCTAATTTTTTTATTATAACTAATTTTATCAAGCATTAAAGCTAAAATCTTTTAAGTAGGCTTTAGCTTTTGTAAACCTACTATCCTACTAAATTGCGGCAAGTCTTATTACTTAGGTAATATTTGACTTCCGAAGTACTAAGTACATATTTAATGATAAAATATACTTCATTGATTAATATTACGGAGTCTTAATATTTAATATACTTTTGAGAAGCACCTGAATATTTCAGAGATCATTTGAGACTAATTAAAATTTCATAAAAATTATTATTATTATTATTTTAGAAAAAAAAGTACAAAAGAATTATAGAGAAAATGTTACAAATTATATAACTTTCCGACGAAACAAAATCAAGGGACAGTTTTCAGTTGTTTAATTGTTAGCAACGTCAAGAAACGATTGGTAGTTACTCAGAAAAGAAGAACACTAAAGAGAGCGTGTCGAGAGAAGAAGTAACGGAGAAATATAGTAGCAGTAGCAGTTTCCTTTTGACCCGGCCGTTTTGAACAACTAAACTGTATCCCCGCATGTGTATTTCCAGGACTTGTATATAGGACACCTAGAATTGCTCCAATTAACGGACGGAACGTGCTAGCCCGTTGTTCACTTGAGAGAACTGATTGCCTTGCCAACTGGACTATCGTTTGACCTCCTTCTTCTTCTAATTCTTTTTCTTATTCTCAGATGTATACATATAGATTTTATTTTTCTTTACATCACTTCGGTACTGCTGCTACTACTTCCCTCGACATGTTACGCTTCGGTTCCTCTGACCCATACCAATACTCCTTTATTTCCTGCTTCGTCAACTTCTGCTCCCAAAGTTACTCAACAAACTGCCCTACTACACTGATAGAAGGATTTTTTTGTATTTAAAAAGATTTGTTAATATTTAATAAATGACTTATTAGAGGATAGGTCCTTAACAAATATTTATTAACAGTAAATAAATCATTTATTAGTATTTAATACACACTGGATTATGAATATTTAAAAAATTCCTCAAAAAGGTGTTTCAATGTTTTATTTTAATTCTAAAAATTACAGAGAATTAGATATTTAATGAAGTAAAAGAAAATTGAAATTAAAAGATACAAATAATAAAAAGATAAATTACAATTAGAAGTTTACATATAT